GATTTGTGGAACCTCTTCTATAGAAGAGGTTAGAACTGGCAGGAACCCACCCCTGATACCTGCATATATTATCTTAGCTTAGTTGCTTCCTTTGCCACGGAGAAACTTTGAAAGTCTCTCTGGTGAGCCAAATGGAACTCTTTCTTAGCCTGACTTTCTAACTTGGGGTTTCCATTAATTTTAAGTTGAGGAGTTAATTTAAGGGGCATGTTCGCAGCACTTTCCCAAGTGGGCCTTAATTCGAAAATTTCCACAGTGAAACGAATCACAAAACAGCTATTTATCAAAAACCAATTGGTGTCTGTCACCGGGACCAGAGGTTTAGTCTTGTGAGCTTTCGGACTTGTGATGGACCCCCACCCTCAGCGAACCTCCATCTTACCAGAATGAGTGCTTTGGGGGACTCTATGCGTAATATTTACCGTATTTTTGGAGTATAAAATGCACCAGAGTATAAGATGCACCATGACTTTGAAGAGGTAATTTTTTAAAAAAGTTTTTGTACTCTGCAGGCCTCCCAAACCCTCTGCACACGTTTTTTGCAAAAAAAAAAAAAGGGGGGGGGGCATGCAGAGCTTTGGGAGTTGTAGAATGCTCCTGCAGGCTGAGGAAGGGCAAAAATGAGCAAAAATGGCCCATTTTTTGCTCATTTTTTTGCCCTCTTCAGGAGCATAAAGGGAGCAGGGTTTCAGTAGGCCAAAAATGCTGTATTCAGTATATAAGATGCAACCAGATTTTCACCCTTTGCAGGGGGGAGGGAAGGTGTATGGCACACGGTATGTGGCACCTGATTGCAGGTGGCTTTTTAAGTTGTTGATTGGGGTGTTATGCCATCATAGAACAATGAAAGAAAAGTTGATCCACCTACCTCTCTCCAAGTTCCACAAAGATTGGAAACTGGAATAAAAACATCAACTTCTGGGCCGCAGGATTTCTAGGATCCATTTGTTTTTGGCTTTAATGGGCCGAGGACAAACCAAATTATAAACTGCAGTCATCTATTTTTATTTTTTAAAACATTTTCGTGAGACTTTATCATGCTTGGAAATACAGGTAATATTCAACATATAACAGTTGAGCCCAAAATTTATGTTGCTAAGTGAGAAATTTGTTAGGTGAGTTTTACCCCAT